CAGGTTCATTATAGTCTGTTTTATAATTGATCATTATTAGAATGTGTAGAAGCCTTTCAACGATTTAATAATAACAAAAGAACGAAAAGAGTGATATATGGTGCCTCCACATTTCTAAGATGTTCTCATAATCTCACAATATGACATTTTGATCTCAGTTCATTTAAATTTATTGTTGCAATGCATTTGCATATCTCAAAGCCAGCTAACTTTAGCTTTGTTCTACTATTTAATAAAAAATGTTAGTTTGTTTAAGAGTGTTTGAAATGAAAAACAGATTTGTTTAATATACTTAATCACAAAGTTTCTGTATCTTCAAGTGTTTGTATTGAATAGGTTTATCTCCAGTGTTGGAGAAAGATACTTTTAAAAGTAATGCATTACAATATTGAGTCACTCCCCAAAAAAGTAACTTAGTTACAGAGTCGAGTGAACGCATTACTGCATTCTAATGACATTATTGATGAACACAGTAACAAAACTAATTACATTTTTAAATGTGTGTAATTTTGATTACAGTTACTTAAGTCACTAGTTGCATTACTTGCATTACAAATATAGATTTTAGAAAACAATATTTGCTTTTTTTTTAAGCCGCGTTTTCCGCTGCAACGTCAGTTAAAGAGAATTCCCTTTTAAACTGCTGGAGAACGCGAATGATGCTGAAATAGCTGCTGACGAGGGTCGCTACTGCTTCAAGTGGAAATACAGAAATTACTTTGATTTTATTGAGAATAAAAACAAAAATATTTCTGTGAAATATTCCAGTCTATAAAGAACGTAAAGAGCGTTTACATTTTGTCTCCATGACCGCAGATATGGTGTTTTTTCTACTATGATTGTTAGTGGTTACATGTATCCAGTTTTCTTCTAAAATGTCTTCTTTTGTGTTCAAAAGGAAAAAAAATGTAACCGGTTTGGGACAAGTGAAGTAAATAATGAGATAATTTTAAGTTTTGGGCAAACTATCTCTTTAAATCTAAATTGGTTATGAATTTGTCAAGCTGCTGTGCTAAACCCATTGTCATGTTTTTTAGTGAATAATAAATTACTGAAAGAGCTGCAGTTTGTTTTGTATGTTTTATATGTTTTAAAGTAACCTCAAAGTTAAATAATTACTAATCTGATTACTTTTACATTAAGTAATTAGTAATTTAATCAAATTACAATTTCCCAGTAGTAATTTTTTATGGATTACTTTTTTAAAGTACCTTACCCAACACTGCTTAGTTACTTCTTATTGTAAGTAATGTTACATTTTAGGGCTTTTTCCCTTCCTTTTTTAATAGAGGAGCTCTACAATTAACAACACACTGTATTACCAACATCTTTATTTACCTTAAAAAAACACATAAAAATATATATATATTTTAAGATGATGTTATCCTCTGAGAACTTCCTGACCCCAGAGCCATGCTGTATACAGAATAATGAAAGTTTAAAGCAGTGTGTTTGCTACTTTTATCCTGTTTCTCTTATTAATTACGTAAAATCACTGTCCATTGAGACCAAAGTAGTGAATCTTGCTATTTTAACCTGCCTGCTCCCAAAACGGCTGAACTCCGAGACAATAGTAATATTTTGGCTATAACAAATGTCTGTGTGTGTCATCTGCTATGGTATGTTTTGTTCACACTGTCTTCTAGCATAATACAAATGGTTGAGTTCAGACACCAGTTTCAAGCTTGTGAGCAATGAATGTTCTCCCTCCCTCACTTACACATCAAGCCCCCGGCTGGGACGTGTGGTGGTGGGGGGGAGTGAGTGATGGAAAGAGGAGGGTGAGAGGGCTAAATGCCTGAGCCACATGTGATAACTCACTAGCGGTTCACAAGGCTAACTGCGGTCAGAAAGTGATAGCCTTGCATGAATTTGTTCCGGGAAAATCCAGCCAGTCGCCCCTCAACCTCAGCAGGGGTTTTAAAAGATGCAGGAGTATGGAATTCCACAGCCGCTTAATTAAATCCGTGATTCACAACCTAACAAATTGTAGTATTTTTAGTTTTACTAGCACACGGCTGTATAAAACCCTCCTCTTTATTAAAATTTAAAGGGGACATGTCACAGAAATCTGACTTTTTGCATGTCTAAGCGCTATAATTGGGTCCCTGGTGTATTTATCAACACAGAAATTGTGGAAAGGTACATCCTAGTAACTTTGTTTTGGTAAGATTTTCTCTTTTACAAACAACTATACAAATGATTTACTAAACACTGAAAAAAGTCCTGGTGTGGGCTTGATGTTGTAACATCTCATTTCTTACATTGTGTTTGATAGATATATGCTTGTTTTGTTGTTTTTGGAGAGTCAGAATAGTTTCTAAAATCTAGATGGCATACAGCTGCAGATACGCATCAATATAGCATAATTATTTTCACTGCACCACTATAATAAATACGTTCACATTACTACTTTAGGGTTAGGGTAGGGGTAGATGTTAATTTAATGTGTAATTCAATAAATAATATGAATAATACTTGGCATAATTGCTGTTCCCCAGTAATGGGTTGCAGCTGGAAGGGCATCCGCTGCGTAAAACTAATGCTGGATAAGTTGGTGGTTCATTCCACTGTGGCGACCCCTGATAAATAAAGGGTCTAAGTCCAAAAAAAAAAAGATTGAATAATTGCTGTTTTTACATTGCTGTGATGGTTGGGTTTAGTGTTGGGGTAGTGTTAGACGTTAATAAAATACAATTCAATGCATAAATTAATAAATAATATAAATAATTCTCGTTAACTTCCGGCCAAAGCTGTATCCCTTCTAGCAACAACCCTCTAATGGAGAAGCAGCTAATATGCATTGTAAAGGGACACACAAAAACTGCTATATTTTTTCTCTCTCTCAAATAGAGGCATATTTAAAAGCTATAATAAATCTGTGCGGTGTTTTCAACTGAAACTTCACTGTATTCTACAGTGGACACCAGAGATTTATTTTACACTTACACCTACTACATTTACACTTATTTTAAACAAACAAAGTAAATGTAGTAATGTTGCAACTTAATTAGTTGAAATGCAGCCCATATAAATTGTTAGCAACCTCTTACCTTCAAGAAATTGAATAAATCCAATGAATAATTTTGTTCAGTGTATTAAAAAGGGGCATGTGTTTACTTACATCCCCATTAGCCATTGCTAATTTCTGGATGCTCTTCCTGGGGTTTAACAAATAAAATAACAAATTTACCCCAAATCATCATCAAAACTAATAAAAAGCACATTAAAATAAAACAGCAGAAACCAATACCAAAACCAAAAACAATAAATTGACACTAAACCATAATACCTAAACCAAAACCACAACCAAGGGAAAAAATACTTTGAGCCATAATTGTATAAACAATACAATAGAACATATATCATTTGAAAGTTTCATTTAAGTGTTTTTTTTTTCCAATAATTTTTAAACCTAATTAACATATAATCTCCTATTCAGTGGTGTAAAGTAATAAGTTACAAATACCCAAATGACTGTAATTGAGTACTTTTTTTTCCTCAGGAATTATACTTATAGTAGTATTAAAATGTGTGCTTTTACTCTTGTACTTTTAAAATGTTCTGTTGGTACTTTTACTGTGATGTGCTTCAACCTGCAGTGACTACTTCATATGTTTACTATTTCTTGTCTCTGGTGATTGACTAAGTAGATTAATTAATGTGATTTCTGTCCAATCAAATAAGTTTCACAGCATAATGCCAAAATCCCTTTAAGGCAAGTAATTTCAAAGCGCTTCTCAAGCAGAATGCTCGGGCATTCTCTCTGAATGGGGAAACATCAATGTTTGCCAAGCCTACGATTACATTACATATTTGAAATCACTAAAAATTCAGCAACAACTGTTTTAGAGTTTTCGTTTCTAAACGTTCGAATCAAACAAAATTAGCATGTTTTCAGGGTGCATGTGCACTGGAAAGAAACAAGATCATGACACTAACCTCATTTATGGCCGCTCAACACATTATCATCCTCTGGATAATGATCGTCCGATCACGCTTGATGGCAAATCCCCTCCAGAAATGACAGCGACTCTTTGTTTGCTAGTACTACCTGTGAGTGTTTGAGTAGTTGCTGTCATGTGATGCACGTTTGACTGGATGGACTGTATCTTGCATTTAAAACTGTTGTTTTTTTAAGTGTACTTGGTTCAATTAAAAGCACAGATTTTTATTAAGATATATTTTTTTTACGTTTGTGAAGCAAGTATTCGCTGAGATTCCAGTGTATTTGTTGACCACTAAACCTGTCGAAAAAGCACACGTCTGGTCCTAGCTTCTTCCCCAGAGAAATGTCAGTCTGTACCGATCAATGATTGGCTCCTGTACTAGTAGGCGGGGCTTTATTTGCCATATTGACCGTCACACTTTTTGAGTGACACTTTGTGTGTATTCTATAGTCATTGGTAATACTCATTACTCATGAGTATTTTAACAAGGGACACTTTTTACTCTTTGAGCTTTATTTAGAACACATACGTCTTCTCTACTTGCAACTTTACTTTTTTTTGGCAAGAAATGGTAGTTGAGTATAATATTTCAGCTAGTGGTCCGAAGAAAGCAGATGAGGTTAATAATAGATGGGCAGATGCGTATAGAAATATGACATCTTGTGTATTAAACACAAACCGCCTCCATGATTTTTCAGCATTTCTTTTTTCGACAGAAGCGGGTTAATGAACGGAAAGTTGCTTGAGCTTTCTTTTTTCCTCTCACAGATGGGAGTTCAGCTCCCAAGCAGAAACATCTGGTCCTGTTTAGAGTTATGCCGTGTGTGTTTATGAGTGTGTGTTTTTAAAGCACGAAGCGTAAGAGGGATATTTTCCTGAGCGCTGGGTGAGTTCTGAATCTTCCTCTGTCACGGGTCACCGGCCGGTTCACATTTCCTGCCAACACGAGTCACCTACAAACCAGCGCTTATTAGTCTACAAATCTCCAACATGGTCAGATCCAAATATATTTATGTCCCTTTTGTTTCTTTTTTTCTCTCTCTTTCTCAGGATCTAGAGTGAAAATCTCTTTTTTTGTTCCTGAAGTGTTGCCCGCCATCGACTCTTCGTGGACAACAGCGTTTCCACCACTGCTCATCTCCTGAAAGGATAACAGTGAGTTTTGAATTGGTTTCTCTCTCTCTGTTTACAGTGATTCGGGTTTCCTGCCTGCCATCATGGACACGCCAGTTCGTATTTCCTCTCTTCGTCATGGCAGACAAAATCAATTGTAGACACAGCAGTTTACAGAGACGTAGAATCAGTTTGAGATCAGCAGAACTAACAGACACGGATCGACCTGTCAGATTTGATGCACACCAGCTAGTTAAGGAGACGTGACTAACATTTAAGATACAGATCTGCGCTCATTCTGTCACATTGTTTTGAATTAACTAAGTCGGACTGTGAAATATAATTTGTTGGGAGCAGGTAGAATCTGCTATAGCCTTTATCATGCCACAAATGGAAATGGCTGCATGAAAATTATTCATTTTTTATTTCTTAATTGAAACCGAGTCACTAGATTATTGAATAGATATTACTGTTTGATGTGGAAACCCATTTGCAACTTGAGTAATAAATAAATGAAAGGTATTTTGACAGTTGCTTCCATTGTTATGACATTGCTCATTCCTTCATTCATTTTCCTTCAGCTTAGTCCCTTTATTTATTAGGGGTCGCCACAGCAGAATGTACCGGCAACTTATCCAGCATATGTTTTACACAGCGGATACCCTTCCTTCTGCAACCCAATACTGGGAAACACCCATACACTCTCACATTTACACACTCAAACACTACAGCCAATTTAGTTAATTCAATTGACCTATAGCACATGTCTTTGGACTGTATGGAAACCGGAGCACCTGGAGGAAACCCTTGCGTACACAAACATGCAAACTCCTCACAGAAATGAACCGCTGAGCCACCTATTACTTTGTTAAAAATGCTAATTATTGTTTATCAGAATTTCACAATTTGACTTGAGTAATAAAACCTTGCTTGTCTTAACATTTGCTTTATTTTTTATTACATTCTCTTATACATTTTACTGTGTAAAATTAAAACTGCATGGACCCAAAATTCTCATAGAAATCAGTCAAGTTTGGTGAAGAAAAATTCATGGTTTAGGCATACATTCAATATGTTGGCAAGCAAGAGATCTGCAGAGTGGATGGCAACATTATCAGCCTGAGGTATCAAGACATTTGCGCTGCCCATTACGTTACAAACCAAAGGAGGGGGAAAATTCATCAGCAGGATAGTGCTCATTCTTATACTTCAGCCTCCACACCAAAGTTCCTGAAAGCAAAGGTCAAAGTGCTCCAGGACTGGCCAGCCCAGTCACCAGAAATTAACATTATTGAGCATGTCTGGGGTAAAATGGAGGAGACATTGAAGATGAATCCAAAAAATCTTGATGAACTCTGGGAGTCCTGCAAGAACGCTTTCTTTGCCATTCCATATGACTTTAATAATAAGTTATTTGAGTCATTGCAGAGATGTGTGGTTGCAGTCCTCCAAGCTCATGGGAGTCATACACAAAATTTATTATTTTTCCCCTACACCATGACTTTATATTCTATACTGGAATATATATATTTCTGTTAATTGACAATACTTTTGTCTAAGCAAAGTCAGACCTTACTATCTGAATTAATTCATTAAAAATCAAGGCATGATCATGTTTTTATTTTTGTAAAAAGAAGCATAATCTAGAGGCTCTTGGCTTTCATAAAAGCCACTTTTGAGACTAATTGATCATCTAGAAGTCCAGATATTATTTGTTGTTTCTAAAACTTTAGCTTCAAGACTTTTGTCAGGTAGTGTACGTATATCTGCGGCTTTTGTGTCAGTATTGGCTTTTGTTAGTTTTTCTTAAATTGTTACTTTACATTAACATAGTTTCCTATGTTTTCCCCTCGTAATTGTAATTTTTGAACATTTTTTTGTTCTAAGAATTTTAGCGTTTACTCTGCAATGGCTATATGCATATTTTTGTTGGCTACAGTTGTTCAATTTCCAGCACAAGGAAATATGATGCTAGTCAATTACCATGAAATGAAACTACATCCTTGATATGACTTCTTGCCCATAACAATTCACCCTTAAGAGGATCGTATGATGGATTTTTGGCCCGCGATGAAATGACCTTTGTTTTTCTGGTCAAACACTTGGCACTGACTAAATCTGACATGCCCTCACATCATTTGAGCTGCAGCATTGTTCATTCAGCCTTTCTCTCTCTCTTCCACGCTGCCCTCTGAGCAGAAACAACCGCGTAAGCACTCACATTCTAGATTTCTCTCTGTCCATCCCTTTTGTCCAGGAAATCCACATTTTCATTCAAAGGTCACCGATGGCTACAGAGAGTTGCTGGGAGCCGTATTCAGTCACGTTGTGTCATACTGTTTATCCTGGAGGTTGTTGGTGTGTTATGGATGGTTTGATGTAGACCTGAGCCCTGCAGGTTTGGAAGGCTGACACTGGACTGGCCTGTACCAACTAGGTGAAAGGTGAGGCGAGAAAGCTTGCAGGCTGGGTTTTTTGTGAATCTCTGATGGGTGAACTCCAGTGATGGTAGGAAAATAGGTGTTTTTTGAAGTATGGATTGGTTTGTTGTCTTATTTTGAAGTCAATATGAAATTGGTTTTATTTATCTTTTTTTTTTTTCTAAATCGTTTGTTAGTTTGGTTATTCTGGATTTGATATTTGTTACCATATGAAGGAGGAACTCCTTTGAAATGAGTTTTACTTTTTTGTTTCAATTTCATTCCTGTTAAAGTTTAACCCTTTGAGAAAGGATTCTGTAATTATTCTTAAATGTAAAGTATATGTTATTAATTTGTTATTTAACTCTAAAAGATGCTGAGCTGATTTAAACCATCAAATATGGACTAATTTTAACCATTATTAATAGCACATTTTAACTGTTGGTTTTGTCCACTTGATCTAGTGTATGTTTAAAACAACCTTATTATTATTATTATTATTATTATCATTATTATTATTATTATTATCGTTGTTGTTGTTGTTATATTATTATATGTTTTGTTTTTATTGTTGTTGTTGTGTTAAACAATGTACTGCTGTTATTTGTTTTATTGTTTAAAGTTCTAATAACAAAAACACAAATATTGATTAAATATATATATATATATATATATATATATATATATATATATATATATATTTTTTTTTTTTTTTTTAGTTGTTGTAAAAATTATTTCATTATATTATTATTCAACAAAATTTTTAAATGTTAATATGTTACACTTTATTGAAGTTAAAACATCAGTATTAAAACAAATCTAATCCCAAATATAAACTAATGTCTAAAACAGGATGCATTTTATTTGTTTTTATGTGCAAAAAATTCTTTAAATGAAATTTTTTTTATTTCAAATTTAGGAGAAATACCATCCGTAAGATTTACTCAAACATAACTAAATACTTAAAATCATATATTATAATTTTTCCCCATACACTGTAAAAATATCTGTAAATTAGAAATTATTCAAAATTTTGTGATTCATGGTTTTATTTATTTTTTCCATGTTTATTTATACTTTTAAACTTCATTATGGATCTTGATCTTTATTCCAACTTATTCTAAATTTTTTAAAAAGTGACTTAACATTTTTAATAGTTTAAAGTGATGTATTGTCTGGGTTTGTATTGAAAATTACAGTACAAACATATGCATTTCTCTATATAATATTTCCTATACTTTATAATATTTCAAACTACTAAAATGTCAATAAAAGTAACATAAAAACTATAAATAAAAACTGTCGACAGCAGATATTAACATCCAATAATGCAATTCACAACTGTAAGTAAATGAAAAACACTTGTGAATCACAAAATATAGAAGCTATTAGTTAACAGATATATTTTACATTGTACCTCAGAAAAAAATGGTACAATGTTGTACCAAAGACGGTACAAACCCTTGTAACTGTACCTTTTTATGAAACAGAATTGTACATTAAGACAAAGAAACAAATTTGTATCATTGCAGTTTGTACCTTTTAAGGACATGATTTTTACCATGGGAAACCAAAATGTACCTTTGAACCTTTAAAACCTGCAGGTACAATATTGTACCTTCATCAAATCTGATCCTCGAAGGTACCACAAGACACTTTGTACCATAACAGTGTCAAATGTGTTCCTTCAAGAACTATTAAAAGGCATTTTGTTATATCCAAAATGTGGCAATTTGTTTTCAGTAAATATAAAACATCAAATACATTTTTAAACAATGTTTTTTTTTTTAAAGTTTATTTTTGTGTAAATGCACCTTTTCCATTTACAACAAAAAATAAAAATACTTTAACAAATCAAAAGGTCTTTTTTTCTAAACATTTCACAAGACTTTTCACAAAAATGTTACAGAAATACATTCTCCCATGTACAATATATATTTTTCTCCAATTTTCACACATTACCTTTGTAATCTCCTAAAAATTAATTTAATTTACTTAATTTTAAAATAGAAATGACATTGTGCAAAAGTATTGTAACGAGATATGCACAATGTTTGATTAGCTTCACATTACTAAAATGTCTGCATGAACAGAGCGTGCAGGACTTTTGCCAGCTCACATGCGTAGGAAAGCAAACGCCAAAAGGTGCAGATATCAATGTATTTATCACAAAATGCTTACCAAATGTTTATTAAAAAGGCCTTAAATGTTTAGTTTACAATATATATAGTTTGTTACCAGTTGTTTTGTATTTAGAACTTAATAATTATATTCATAAGTTTCTTTAAACATATACTTTTAAAGGATTATTCATGTTTTAATATAGAAATTATTCATAAAATCACTTTGCCTTTACAGTAATATTCTTTTTCATATGTATCGTAATAAAGGAGTTGTCCAACACTTATTTACCTATTTTATGAGAACAAATGTGTACGTATATTTATATTTTTAATAGGCACAGTATTATAAGAGGTCTTTTCTGTACCGTACAGGTACAACTTTTACAAAGGTACAAAACTGCTCTTTAAGGAACATTATTTGTACCACCGTGTACCTGTTTTCCTGACAGTGTATCATATTGTTGAGACAAACTTTCTTTTTGTTGGCTTGTCTTGAAGA